CTGTGTGTTTCTGTCCTTTTCTAGGGTAGGTCCTCGGTGAGCACCCCCCTCTGCTGGATTCAGAAACCGGGTGCTCGACTTGCAGTGTTTTCCTCACTCGTCGATGTTGTATCCAGCCGGTATGATAGAACTGGTTTTGGCTTCATGCTTCCTGGATCATGCGGCCAGGTCGCAGGCTTCTGCGGGAGCCTTCTTGACCATCAGGACCCTGGCACGGCACTGCAAAATTTCCTGCGCACGCTAGTACTTTGCGTTCTTTCTAAAATCCTGTATGGTGAGGGCTTCGCGCGGCAGCTTCGTGCCCTTTCTTGAGCTGGTTAAGCTCCAGTTCCACCTTGGGCACCACTCCACCTATGTATCCTATGGATACCCTAGGGGATAATGTCACTGACAGCCGTCTTAACGTCCCAGGGGCAACTCTCATGGCTATGGTAGAGTTGGTACTTAGTGCTCACCATGGCTTTCTGGCATGCACTCCCCTCAGCATGGTGGTGTGGGTATACCGTTCCCCATAGCGACACCTAGAGGACGCAGTTCGAAGTTCCCTTGAAAGCAGTTTGTTATTATTAAAATTGTATATAGCCCACTTTTTTATAAACATTTTTTTTATTATTATTTACCGCTTAGGCATTGGCAATAACGTTGACAATAACGTATCTTCAACATACGTTGTCTATGACCAAAAATGTAAGAAGATATGTTTTCAGTCGACTTTTAAAATTTGCTTTGCTTGAGAAAACAAAAATCGTCTCAGGTTACTTATGTAACCATGGTTCCCCGAGTAGGGAACGAGACACTGCGTCCTCTAGGTTTCCTGCCATGCTTCGGACGCAATCTTCAGACGAAGAAGTGGATGATGTGCTCTCCCGGCACCTATTTATACTATAGTCGCACCGGTAGTGACGTCATGGCTGTCGCCGGTCAACGTGTTTCAGTGCTTCAGACATGGGTCACGACGAGTTGTTCCCCATAGCGACCCCTAGGTTCATGGTTACATACGTAACCTGAGACGTTTTCACCGATCACAAACAGTCTCTCAAAGAAAAGAAAGAGCGATAAAAGGTAAATGGCAGAAAATAACGTCCATACAACTAACTTATCTAAAACAAAGTTTCCACCTTCTCATCCACAGTTCGTTGAATTTATACACAATCACGGTGACAAAATGGTGTCGTTAACTGACTCGCAGCACCAGTGTGAGGAGACGTGGTCATGATATAAACTTAATAATACGAGTTAATCTAACCTTGATATTTTACATTCATCAAAACAAATGTCTTAGTTGAGCTCTTAATGAAAAATATTTATATTTATCAATGTTTTGAACAAAAAATATTACTTGAAAAATAAAACAAATAATGGTCAATTTAATTGAACGACAAATTATTAATTGGATGAAGTACTGCTTGAAAAACTTTTTTCAGTGTAGATGTTCAACTCCTAAACAATGCTTAAATATTCATTTTTTACAACGACTCTGTGTTATGTATTTTGACTGATATTTTCTTTCAGAACTCTAGTGCAGGACGATCATCCATACCTGGACAAACTTTCTTGCTAAAGATGAGGCAGAGGAGTAAGTAAATGACATGTATCTAAAATCTAACATTTATTAACATATATGTATTTAATAATGTAGTTATTATTCATGAGTTCTATTTCTCATTTAGATAAGTCTGCTACATTAAGACAATAGACAGTTCAATGAGTAACATGCATCTTACTATTTGCAAATGTATCTGAAGCCAATATTTCCTTAATATCTTCAGACAGCTCCAACCTCATATGCCATTACGAATGATTAAAAGACACTCCAAAAGTGTTTCCCAACTGCAATTTCTGTTACTGTTTTCTGGAGGGAATGTTTCTGTGTTATGAGACAATTCATCTAAAAATAAGGTTACAATCTTACTTTATACTTTATTGTGTATTATACTGTCAATGCAGTCATTAGGGGTGGGGATGCATGATATTGGATTTTTGCCAATATCCGATATGCTGATATTTTTCAGCTCATTTTGGCCGATAGCCAATGCCGATACCGATATATTTCCTTTTGTTTGGAAACAACACTAAGTCTATCCTGTGCAGAGATTATAAACAAATTAATTTAAATTTTGGTTCGTTTTTAACAAAAACGTACTTGTTAGGATTAAATAAAGAAAAACAAAGTTATTTTATAATAAGAGTACATTGAAAGCTTTGAAAATAACTATAAATCAACTATAAATCAATCACTGCATTTTTTTTTTTTCACACAGATGCAGTGGCCAATTCAGAGCCGATTCTAGCACAAGAATCGATCCTTGTTGTTGACTCTATACTGCATGGCAGATGAGTGCACTACTAGACTTTACCAGCAAAGTGACACTGCGCATTACATTGTGTGCTGTCAAAACATTCTCACACACTTTTATGTAAAAAAAAAAAAAAAAAAAGCAGGGCTGCCAAATTTTGAGTTCTGCTTGCAGTGACAAAAACTTTATATCATAAGAAGTGTATTGTGAACCAACTTGGTTGGACTAAAAATATTAAGACAAAATCAAACACTCTAATAAAACAATGATTCTTCTTGCCTTATTTGGAGAGAACAGTTTAAAAGCAGACTGAAAAGTGGAAGGAGAGAGTGAATAAGGAACACAGGTCTTCAAATAGCTCATAAAACTATTAAATGAACAGATACTTCGAGCACCTACAGTACCACACACTTGAGATGCATTTGAATCATTCCATACATTTGATCATTGTTTCTAACTGCAACAATTTTTTTAACCAACCTTTTTAATAATATTACAACAGTGATCAAATTCTATGCTAAATATGCAGTTTAATATATATATATATATA